CACGTAGTCCACGCTCATGGCTCTCAGCGGTCGCAATCTGGGCGGCTAGCTGGTCCATCAATTCTTGTTGGCGCTGTCGTTGCTCGGCAAGCTCTGCCATGAGCTACTGGTTCATGGACACCTGCGCCTGGGCCTGTACTTGCTGTTGCTGGTGAAGTGCCATCAACTGCTCGTACGTCTGCTGGGCCTGAGCACCAACATCTCCTTGCACCGAGTCGAGTCGCGATGCTTGTGGTTCCACCGCAAATCGCACTTGCTGACCAAGCTGCTGAACGGCAAGGTCGGGTGGGTACGCGGCATATGGAGTTGCAGCCACCGGTGTGGCATACACGTCCTTCTGGGAGCGAGTCCGATGCAGCACCATGCTGGCGGTTACTCCACGTGGTGACAAAGGTAACGAACTCTCTTCATCCATTGCTACAGGGTATGGGTATGGTCACTAGCGAGACAAGCAGAGCTAGCGGCAGGTAAGGAACGCTTGCGGTGTCGGAACAGAGCTAGCGGCCGGGTCGGGTATTGATACACAAATACGTTTGCAACGGCGAGCATTAGTTTCGGAGTAAACGACTATAGAATTCTTTGATGTCACTCCACCACTGGAATGAACACTGAGGTCAAAAGGGCAAATCCAAAAGTGAAATTGGGGTTAAGTTCACAGCCTGGTCTCTGGATCGAGAGATCCTCACTTGCTAGCTGTATGCCCGACTGCTACGTCTTAGCCCAACCTAATGTATCTATGCAAAGGGGACTCAGCCAATCAAATGATCTCTTCAGCGGAAAATGCAACAACCCGACCACACTAGACGTTAAGTCTTGAAATGTAAGTGTGGATGTGTGTCGCGTGTTCGCTGAAGCTCCTCGCCCGTCGTTGATCGGACAACACCAACGCAGATAAATTTTTCGTCCGAAGTTGCTGGACTAGCAGCGATTTTCAATCCGAAACACATTTCAGCCTTGATGTACCTCGTTAACAGTCACCGCATAACGCGACGTACGCGCAGCAACCATCACTACGAGGCAGGTGCACGAATATTTCCCCAGCAGCTTTCGTCAAATTCAAACGTCGCTGCAGCATCGCGTTTAGGCAAATAATGTACTGAGTACGAAACGAGTCGAACAATGTTGCCGAGACGTCTAGTCAGCAATATCTTGGGCAGTTGCACGCAGAAACGCGCGACACACATCCACACTTACATTTCAAGACTTAACGTCTAGTGTGGAGCAAAAGACCATAGTCACGGTTATCCACTTTGAGCATTTTCCTTGGATTTCATCACTGTCAAAGCATAGACGCTTGGGGAGAAGAAAGAAATCTAGAAGCATCGTTCAAAAGCTCCTTGCAGAGCTCTACTACATGCCGGGACACGGCAGCTATGATACTGTACGCTGATGTAGGTTCATCTCATCGCAACTTCTCATCGAGTGCAAAAATGCCTGAGATTGTGTTCGTCACGATTATCATGAGCGCATCTAACAGATTGTATTCAACTGGTGGGCGTGTAATACTTCAGTCGATTGTTTACCGTTGGATATATGGGTAGCAACAATTTCTGTTCCACCATCGGCACCGTCGCAGCGGCAGCAAAGATCGTGCCGAGTTAGAGTGTTGCGACGCGGGTCGGGTGATGGCCATTAATACCTCCATTAGTCCATGTTTGAACTACGGGACTATTTAAAGCGGATAGGTGGGCAGGAGACCAACTCGATGTTGACCACTGCGGATTATTGCTTTGACTTGATAGACTGCCGTCGCCAACAAATCACACGTCAGGGATCTCCTCATTTGGAACCAATGGCAACAACCTTGGTTGCCTATACAAGATCTGACACCAGTGGAAGGACAACGGCATCGTGATTAAAACAATAACATGGGGTTATACTGCTGTGATGGTTAAACTTCCGAGTACCAAACGGAATGGCACTCCTTTAGCAGGCGGGCTTGGTGGTGGTCGAGACGACGGTGGTCGAGACGACGGTGGTCGGGACTGCGGTGGGGGCCGTGCCGTTGAATTCGGCTACAGACTTGGCGAATTGCCACATGCCGTAGTAGATTTCGTCGCCGCGGGTCGGGATCGCGGTGTAGGGCACAACAAAGTCGGCGCCCGTCATTTCCAACGTCATCGTCGGCTGCTTGTACGTGCGGTAAAAGTAGTCATCAAAGCACCCGTACGCCAAGTAGAGCTGACCTGACTTTTCCCAAATATATTCTTTCGGGTTGTTGGTCACGTTGTTGAGCGCGTCCTTGACCTTTTCACCCAAGATGGCAAACTTTTCATCTTCGCCTCCGCCGATGGGCTGGTGGGTGTCACCGTACGGGACCAATACGGAGCGAGCGTTCGCGTGGATGTCGACATACCCGGCGAATTCGTCGCTGTGGGTCTTGATCCACGCGTCGATGCCCTTGGTCTCGGGCTCGCTGAACGGGAACGGACCAGGGTACGTTTGGTCACCCGGCTTAGGGGGGTTCGGGTTCGCGTAGAAGCTGACGAAGTTGCGGTTTAAGTCAACGTCGTTGGCGTTCTTTCGCTGGTAGCGCTTACCGGCGGTCCACGAGATGTCGTACCCGTCGACGTTAACGATCGGGACAAAGCACAAGTTGTATAAGTCGAGGGCGTAGTTCTTGCCGTTGCTTAAGTCGTCGAGGATGCGCGAGATTGTGTAGACGGTCGAAGCACCGGTCGTCCATTCACGGGCATGGATCAAGCTTTCAAAGTACAGCGACTTGGCCTTGGCACCGGCCTTGCCTATGATTTTGTACCCCCAGATAGGTTGCTTGCGCACAGTTTCCGAGATTTGGAACTTGGTGATCACCGACGGGTTTTGCTTGACCAAGGCATCCAAGTACTCATTGATTTGGGTCGACGTACGGAAGCATTTGTGGAACGTGCTGGCTCGGTAGTTGCCTGGCTTGAGGCCCGGCAAATACCCCGAGTAGGCATCGTGGCACTTACGGTTGTCGTCGCCGTCGTCCTGGATGGCTTGCAGTTGTTCAGGAGTACGGATCTTGCCGTCGTTGATATCTTCATTGGTCAACGTAAACGGGGCGGCGGCCGTCGCCGCGAGGAGCGCGATAAAGGCTAGGAGCGACGAGTTCATGGCGACGACTGGAGTAATTTTACAATGAAGTCGACTTAATTTGTGACAAGATCTTGGGCCATGCTGGTCCGGTTCAGGCAGCGCTCAATTCTTCGGGTGTTAGCGCTGATCTATTTGGTATTTCTAACATGTACGGCTCCGCGACGAGAGAGGGTGGGTGATCACCCTGTCCAGGACCAGATGCCAAACAGCCTGGTACTAGTATGTGGATGAGGCTGTTTCAACAAATTGTAACTCACCCTTCTTCATTGGTGCCTCTGGCATCTTGGGCGTGCGCGGTTGCTAGCGTTGTTTGAATGTGTTCCGGCTGCAAGTGTCTGGTCAGGTACGCTAGCTTTATTAGCGGGCTGCCTTTGTCATGAGAAACGTTGGGGCTGATGCAGACCCAAAAGGGAGGGCTGGGGTGTCCTTGGTGTGTGGATATTTCCGTTCCATCCTAGCTTTCATAGGTACCTGACGTGGGTACACCAACTTGGGTCCATTTGCCCAACTTGGTTTACGTGTCGATTAGGCGCGAAATTCTGTCAAGACCAGGCCGGCAGTGGAATAGGCAAAAGGTCTCTCGAGAGTTCCATCGATTGGGTAATGAAGGGGGGCTCACCTGGGGGTGGAAATCGTGTTGGGTGGAGAAGCACAGCAATGTCAGGTGTAGTCAAAGGGCACAGTCCACGTACTGGTTTGGTGCTTCCCATGCAGAGTGGCGTCGGTTTGGGGAGGGTTATCCGTCTTTACCGCTCGACATATCTTATCCATGCCAGCCGCATCACGGCCAGAAAGGAACGTACTAACAGTTCAGCCCGCTCGTGGTTTGGGTCGTGCAACAGGTGTCGCGGAGCACACATACACTCTTTCGTCACGTAGTGGAGGGGTGGATTTGTTTGGGCCATTCAGCGACCGTTTGTTCAGGATCTGTAGGTCGGACATACGACGAACATCTGTGAGTTGTTGTGTACCAGTATTGGTGTTATGAATGGCACGACGTGACAGAAGCGAGGACAACGGATCATTTTTCACAGTCGTTCCTACGACGGTCTGTGAAGGACGGTCTTGCGCAATCCACAGCAGCAAGTGCGGCGAAAACGCACGAAGGGCTGATGCCTAGTCCAAAGTTGGGCTAAAGACCTAGATTATCCAACTAAGATTTTCGCCGAGGGCTTGCCGCGAGATATGCCACAAGTCTGGCACAAACGGGTGCGTAATGTCACGCGTTCCAATAGTCCTGTCAATTCGGCGGCACAGCAGTCAGTCCATATCGGAAGTATGGACGGCTTAGCGTTCGTACAGTAACTCAAGATACACCCAAAAATTCTCAGCGTCGGCAGTTCCCGACGAATCCAACAAAAGAATTTTGACAAGCGTGCTGAACGAAATGTAGCTAACAGAGCAAGTATAAAATCCTCAACAATTTCGCTGTTCAGAGTGTCCAAAATCTATAGCACACACAACTTTTGTGTTCCTAATTGTTCGTCCTTCACGGCTTCCGACCGCAAAGTTGCCTCCTTAGTAAGGCAAATCCAAGACTGTATTACTTCAGAGGGCTGAGGGGCCACGAGCCACGTGGCCACTGACTAGCATCCTAATAGTAATACTACACAACTAGGTCATCCACAGTGCTACTAGCACCAGGTACTAGACAGCTACCGTGGTTTGCAGTGGGTCAAACGATCGGGCGACCCAACTGCTCTGCAGCACAGAACACTAATCAAACGATCCTACTTCCAGCTCTGATTGCAACCTCGGCCATGCTCATGGGTAGCGCACTTGTTGTCCCCTAAGAGTATCTCCAGCGGTATGGTAAACCGTAGTGTATTTGGTGCAATTTTTAGGGGTTTTGCGGTACCTATTATACCATACTCGTCTTTTTCTGCACCGGGGTACCGCATCGATGGATGATGAGGATGAATGGTTCGAGAATGTGATGGACGACGGCGACGATATGATGGCGCTGAGCCACATCCTGTTCAACCCTATCCCATACATGTTCTCCAGCGATGAATCTAGCAGCAGTGATGATGATGATGAACGTATTCTTCGCGGCGGTTCTTCAGTCGGCCGATGCCGCAACAAACCACGCGACCATCGAATGGGTTTGGAGAGGCTGTACCGAGACTACTTCTCCTTCTCGCCGGTGTACGACAGTGCCGACTTCCGTAGTCGCATTCCGATGCGCATGGTGGTGTTCCAGCGTGTTCACGATGGCGTCCTCCGCGCGGATCCATACTTCACGCAGAGGGCAGACGCGTGCGGCGTACTGCGCCTGGACACTTACCAGAAGGTTACAACGGCGCTGAGGATGCTGGCCAACGGGTGCGCGGCCGATGCTCTCGATGAGAACATGACGATGGCGGAATCGACAACATTGGAATCTTTGAGTCGATTCTGCAGAGCTCTCAATGACACGTTTGGTGACATCTACTTGCGAGCGCCCACAGTCGAAGACCTTGAGCGAATCTGCACAACCAACGGGGTACTCCAAGCCCGCTATCAAATCATCGACAAGCCGTGCAAGTAGTGGCGACCAAGCAACGTGGAGGACATCATCACCGCTGCTGCTTACAAGGTCCCTTCTCAATGAGAAGGAGGAGGTGGCCGGCGACAAATCATCGCTTGTCTGACGTGAGGTCTTTCATGGAAATCGCGCCATGCATATATACGCCGCTCAAACATGATAAACATTCCAAATTTCGGATAATCTCTTTGTATCCATATCATGTGATATTGACTTGTGTTCAAACAACTTACTCGAGTGACACTGTATCAACTTCTATTTTTATATCATTGAACCATCGAACTCTCCAGATTGACATATATTTTTAGATTTTTCATATTCAGAAATTTGATCACAGTATTTGAAATATACAGTTGGGGTTGGTGTATTTCCGTCTGGAGTATGGGTCTGTATTATTGAAAAATGCTGGGATTGCCTTTAGAAATCCGTTTAGTACCATTTTGTATAATACAGTATACCGCCACAAAATTTTCAAATGATTGGAAAGTCGTTTGTACTTGTGGTACTTGTTCGACGGGGAGTGGATCCCCTATAGTGGTCATCAAGCTGTCTCAATTATAGAAGATGGAACCCTCGTCCATCACCTCCTCGTCGAATAGTTCGTTGCCCATCACACCTTCAAGGCCGTCAGAAATGTGAACGTGGTCAAATTCTTCAATGAGAGCATCAGCGGCTGCATCTTCCACCTCGTCGAGTGCTTCCTCTTCAACAGGCAGCCCTTCATCGTCGGCGCCGAGCTGCTGCAGCCACGTGCAAAATTTCGTATTTCGTGTCGGCATAAGTGGACAAACCCGCTGACCTGAATTGAACAGGATGGCGGTACCAGACTCGATCTTGGAGTG